GGAACTCACACACACACACACACACACACACACACACACACACACACACACACAGTGTGCTGCGTAGAAAAATAAGGGAACTTTCCCTGGGTGGGGGCAAAGGTGCATGGATTGTGGTTCTTGCTGACCCTACTCGGTGACGTCCAAAGCATTTTCAAGAGCAAAAAGGAAAAAAACATTAACCTTAATCCAGAAATATTTTTAAGATATTTGACAGGTACTGGGAAAAAAAACTCAAGTAAACAGGAAACTGATTAAAAGTTTGTCTGCTTACCCAGAATTTGATCAGGTAGAAGGCGTTTTGTGGGCCCTTATCAAACAGCTCCTTCAGACCTCCCTTCTTCTCGGGGAACTTGTCGTAGATTTGCCGGATGTCCACACACTCCAGCAGCGGATCGCTGTAGCTCAGGCTGCTCTGGCTGATGTGCACAAAAAGGTGCTTGTTGTACTGAGAAGAGAGAAACGTTTGAATCAGACGGACGCCAGAAATGTGGAGATAAACACACACTGACTACGCCTAAAGTTACTTCTAGGATCCTGCTATAACTTTTCACTGTAACTTAACAGAGAAACAGAAAAATATAAAGTTAGATCAGCAATCTGGTGCATTGTTAAAAGAAAGCCTGCACGTCATCACAGCACAAGCAAAAGCCAATAAGACCACAGAAGTCATTGAAAGTGCATGACAGAGTTATCTCCATGAATTGAGACGCTAGCGTTCATCGAGGTTGTCAAGGTCTGCAACCAAGAGACAAGCTACTCTCTCCCCCCGAGGACCCAAAAAACCCTCAGAAATTTCTCTATCACCAGCTCTGATCTCAACCCAGCAGATCATGTTGTTCAATTACTGAATACAAAACTAAAGGCAGAGAAAACACCCGCCACTGAAGGAGGCTGCAGTAAAGGTCTAGCAGAGCATCTCAAGGGAGGAAACACTTGATGGTGTCCATGGCTTCTCCACTTCAGGCAGACTGCAAATGACTTTCATCCAAGCAGTGAAAAAATCCTCATATTACCTTTGAGCCTCTGAAAACAGGATTGTGTATAAATGGCTGGAATTCCTCAACAGTTAATGCAAATTTTGCGTTAATTCCCCTGAATTAAAGCTGAAAGCACTTCAGTCAGATCTTCGTTGTTTGATTTAAAGTCAAGCGCTGCAGTCGCCGCAGAGGCAAAGCTGCAAAAACTGTCTTTGTCCAAAAGATTAGGAACCTAAACGTGTCGTTATCATTTAATCGTTAAATTTAAGTCAGGTTTTATCAATTATAACAAACTGAATGCAAGCATAGCTGCTAGAAGTTATGCAAAATTACACTGAGGGATAAACTGCTAATAATTCAACTGTAATCTCAGTATCCATCTAAGCTGCTGATTAATACGCTTATGTTGAAAGCAAACTTCAAATTTCTATTTCTGAGCTCAAATAGAGATTTTACTGACTTACTCCCACTGACCAGTTTCAGAACAGGACCACGGCAACTTTACTGGGCTGTTCTCTGACCTGCTTTTCTTAGACAGGGTGTGAGTTTGTTTGGCTTTGCAGCACAATAAATCATACAGTTTAATGCAATATTGGCCAGCTATACAGATCACAGAGGGCAAAAAACTTAATAGAAAGATCTGCTAGTCTGGTTGGTTAAAAAAACAGAAATACATAATTTTCTGCATTTTTACTAGAGGTGGGAATCACCATACATCCCACGATACGATATTATCACAATACTTAACGCACGATACGATATTATTGCAATTTTTAAAAATATTTTGCGATATTCAGATTCTGTACATAAAGGTAAACTTTATCAATATTCATTTTATCTAATATCAAAGTCTCACTCTCAGTCTTTCTCTCATTTCAGTTTTATTGTTGACAAACTGAACGGTTTGTATTACAGTCTAGTCCAACTTAACTGAATCAACCATCTGGTACAATTATAGCTATTCTGAACTATGCAATTTATGAAAACTGTGCAGCCCCTTCAGCAACTGAAGAATTTGAAAGTAAATTAAAACAAAATATAATTTTACATTAAATAAAAAAGTTTTAAACTTAATTAAAATAAAACATGTCTTAAATTAAAATAAGTAAACTGTCATGTTTGGACAGTGAAGGAATGTCAGGATTCTTGCTCAGAACACCAAAACCTTTTTTGTAACAAAATATCGATTTCTGCTGTCCCTGCATCGATACATTATTAGCAAACAAAATATCACGATACTACACAGTATCTTTTTTTCCCCCACCCCTAATTTTTACCCAACTTTGTCTTTGCCTACTGATAAATCTGCATGTTAAATGTGACTTCAGTGGGATGGATCTACATTTAAGGACTCCATTTATTCCCACTAATGTAAATGATGCTGTTTGACAACAGAATCTATTTCAAAGTCACTGTACAACCGTTTTTTTTCCCACTAAGCAAACAAAAAGCAACAAGATGAATGCCAGCTGTCTATGAGCCCAAGGTAGAAAAATGGCAGTGAGTGCGCAGCGTGGCAGGATGACAGATAGACTGAGCAGACAGAGAGATAGAGCTTTACAAAGGTTATTCATACTAGGCGACGCACAAAGGGCTTTAACGCTGTTCTCTGCTGCGGGGTTATCTGTCATCTCTGTTTATGGGACAATAGGGAGTGCTTATTGTAGTCTGGTGCTGAATATGTGTGCGTGTGTGCGGAGTAACTCACTGCCTCCTGGTCCCTCTGTGTCTCCAGGAAAGATGAAAACTCCACCAGTCGTAGTTTGGTGGTGCCGATGGAGCGACCCTGCCATGCCGGCTCTCGGTGCGTTTGGGCTGCACTGGGAGGTTCATAGCCTTGACAACACACACACACACACCATTTAACCCCACTTCACCACTGCAACATGTTCAATCGTGCTTTTTAACGGGGTTAGCAGTAATGCAAACGTGTAAAACTTTAAGCCATTACTGGAGGCCCGAGGACAAAAGCCGGCTGAGGTAAAGGCGAGGCACTAAAAAGCGGGTTAACAGCAGTATATGTAAAGGGGTAACAATGCAGGGGCCGCAGCGAGACCCCCGGTTGCTGCCTCAAAACTCACTCGCTCCATTTTCAAAAACCTCGCCGCTCTCGTCACTTAGTTTCATGCTATTGTAACGAGCACGCCCCGTCATCCACTCCGAAGAGAGGAAGCTCAACAGTGCCGGGTGAGCCGAGTGACGCGGTGCCTTCTTAAATTCATGAAACGTAACTTTTGTTGACCTCATCTGTGGTCAGTCACGTGGCTGGCTCAGTTCTGGTCTTTTTCTGATTTGTCATGAGTGGATAAAAGATTAGAGATGTTTTGGGGCATTTCCAGTGGCCGTGGTTACCTAATTTTCCGACAAACTGTCAAATTTTAACTTTTTCACGTCAAGCACGCACTAAGGAACTCGTTAGTTTGGGTGCCCTGTTCCACATTTGAGAGGACAGGCCACACAGCTGAGGTTGTTTTCCACTCTGAAGCAGCAACGCTAACAAGGTGTGTGCAATCAACAGGTCAGCCAATAAAACTAACATTTGTCATTTCATTAGTTTTTCATTGTTTGATAGGATCGTAATATAAAAATTAGATAATATATTTAATAAAAATATTAAAAATGAGACCACCTCCCACTGGTGAGTCAGTGGTGTAGCGATGGTGAAGCGAAACTGGCTGTGGGCTGCTTGTCTGTCATCTTAACCTCAGTGACGTTGTTCATTCCTCGCCACATATCTCTTGTGGTCGCGTGTGGCCTCCAGCTTCACCCTTACGTGGACTCTCACTCTCCTTCACTTCTTCCTGTCAGTTCATCCAGTTTTTGTGGATGGCTGCGGCTCAGGAGGTCGAGTGGTTCGTCTACTAATTGGAAAAGTGGTGCGATCCCTGGCTCCTCTGACACCTACATGTCAAGTATCCTCGGGCGAGATACTGAACCCCGAGTTCTCCTGATGCATCTTTTTTTTTTTCAGTTAGGCAAAGAAAAAGCACTTATGTGAATGTGTGTGTGAATGAGGCTTGGAGTAGAAAAACACCAAGAGCTTAAATTGAACAGTCCATTTAACATTTCTTTTAGGTCACTAGGTGTCCCAGGCTCGTTCTCAAAGTAGCATACAGGCCTGGCTCGTATCATCACAAAATTGGATCTATTCTTTGATGCAGCCAGTCGAACTAATAACGTCGTCTGATGTGGTTCATAAAGTAGATTCCAGACTGTAGATTCAAAGCAGCTCCTCTGGATAAAGGTTGTAACAAGAGGAACCAACTTCGGTGTGAGCGTCGCTGGGTGTAGTTGTCTTTCTTGCTAACATTATCGGCAGCAAAATCTTATGCGAGGGATATTTCTATCTGGATAGCTTGCCAGCTGTTTAATGGCAGATGTATAAGTTGACTTTTTGCAGTAATTAGGGATGCACCGATACCGATACTGGTATCGGGTAT